GTGATAATCGTTGAGAAAAACAGAGTTTTTTGGAGATTAAAGGCTCCGGTTCACAAAACCAGGTAAGAAGTTTGGGTTTTTTTTTTTTCCGCCATATAATTAATTTCACTGCATATTTTGAAGATAATGAGTTCAATTTGTAGGGTTTTTAATCTTTATTGTGTCTATTACGATTTAAAATTTTCAATTTTATGTAATTTGGTCAATTACAGCATGAAATTTGAGATGAACACAGAGATGTCTGCAGAACCAAAATTCAGCTGTTTTTTTTTTTTTTCCGCCTTTTGATTTTTTTTTCATGATATATTAGAAATAATGTGTTAAAAATTTAAGGTTTTGATTCCTTGTACTGTTGTTTATCATCAAATGTACCCAATTTGATGTAATTTATTCACTTAGAGGTGGATTTTTTAGTTAAAATGGCTTATGTAAGATGGCTCTGTGAAGAACATAATTTTTTTTTTTTTGGTAATCCATGATCGAATTGTTTGTTTTTTTTTTTGTAATCCTTGATCGAATTTTTTTTTTTTGTAACCCATGATAGAATTTTTTGTAATCCATGATCGAATTTTTTGTTTTATTTTTATTTTTTGTAATCCATGATCGAATTTTTTGTTTTTTGTTTTTTTTGTAACCCATGATAGAGTTTTTTGTAATCCATGATTGAATTTTTTGTAATCCATGGTCGAATTGTTTTTTTCTTTTTTGTAATCCACGATCGAATTTTTTGTTTTTTTTGTTTTTTTTTTCTTGTAATCCATGATCGAATTTTTTGTTTTTTTTTTTTGTAACCCATGATTGAATTTTTTGTAATCCATTATCGAATTGTTTTTTTCTTTTTTTGTAATCCACGATCGAATTTTTTGTTTTTTTATGTTTTTTTTTTTTGTAATCCATGATTGAATTTTATGTAATCCATGATCGAATTTTTTGTAATCCATGATCGAATTTTTTGTAATCCATGATTGAATTTTTTGAAAATTTGTGCATTTTTTTTTTTAATCCATGATCAATTTTTTTTTGTAATCCATGATTGATTTTTTTGAAAATTTGTGATTTTTTTTTTAATCCATGATCGAATTTTTTGAAAATTTGTTAATTTTTTTTTTAATCCATAATCGAATTTTTTTTGTAATCCATGATCGAATTTTTTGAAAATTTCCTGTACTTTTTTTTTATTTCTTTTTATCCATGATCGAATTTTTTGAAAAATGATGATTTTCCGAAAAGATGTGAAAACCGTAATAAGGTTTTGATTATCATGATATATTAAACCCAATTTTTAATTTTTATTGTTTGAGTTTGCTGTACTTTTTTTTTTTTTCCATGATCGAATTTTTTGAAAAATTATGATTTTCCGAAAAGATGTGAAAATCGTGATAAGGTTTTAATTATCATGAGGTATTAAACCATATTTTAAATTTTTATTGTTAAAGTTTTTGTTGAAAAAATTGTATGTTGATAGATTATTTATGCAAAAAAATGCATGTTATTATATTTTTAATGCAAAACTGCATTTTTTTTATCTGTTGTTCATGGATTTTTTAGTTGTAATGACTGATGTTAGCTGGCTCTTTGAAGAATTGTTTTTATTATTGAATTTTTAATGCAAAAAATGTATGTTCTTGATAATTGAGTTGTAGCCATGTTTGGAGCTTGCATTTTGTATTATATTATCCTAAATGTTTGTAATTGATATGTACGAAAATATTATTGTCAATAAAGGTATTTTGCAATAACAAATAACAACAAATACGACTACATGAACTACCACAACATATTATCACTATACATGGTAATTATTTTTCTTTTTTAACTGTCAGGTTAATTTTATACTTTTTACATCTTAAAACAGTTGAATCATGTCAATATCTGCAGAAGACCATGCATGGCAACATGGGGTCAGACTTGATCCCAACAAAAAAGACATAATTATTTTTAATTACTGTCAAAGAGTGATAAGTAGTGGGGTACATAGGTTCAAGCAACACTTGGCAGGGGTTAAGGGATAAGTTTCTGTATATACTAGTGTCCCTAGTAATGTAAAAAAACAGATGACGGCAATTCTTAATGCTAACAAAGGTAAAAAATTTGCCAAACATAGGATGAATGAGGAGATAGCTAGTTTATATATACCATCAAGCATGAATGATATAAGAGAGCAATATAATAATGAGCTGGACATGGCCACAAGATTGAGTTTACATGAACAATATAAGAGGAAACGTGGGTTTAGAATGCCCGGTGGGTCTAGCTCAGACATGCATGGTGGGCCTAGCTCAGATATGCATGGTGGGCCTAGCTCAAATATGCATGGCGGGCCAAGCTCGAGCATGTATGGCGGGCCCAGCTCAAATATGTATGGAGGGGTTGATGGCAATATGTATCAAGGAGAATCAGATGTTGAATAAATTGTTTCTAGGTTACCTAGGAATGCCAGTATTGCAGGTCGTGGTCGTAAATACCCATTTCTCTCAAAGCATAAGTCACAACAGATGACCTTAAAAGGCATGGTTAAAGATACAAGAAACATGTTAGAGAGATATGTTGGTAAATGATTCTACGATAAAATGATTCCCTTTGATACAGCCAATAGCCCATATTTTCCACCTATGGTCAGTGCAATCCAGAGAGTCGGGGCCGGGGTAAAACCCCCGACGACATATGAGCTCATTGGGCCAATATTAGATGAAGAGGCGGAGGAAGTTAAAAAGTGGATTGAAGAATATAAACAGAGTTGGCCAAGGACAGACATTACTCTCATGAGTGATGGTTGGTTGAATAAAGTTAGCAAAAAGGAGTTTTTAAACTTCTTGGCCTATTCCTCAAAAGGTACAGCTTTTTTGTATAGCAAAGACGTATCAGGGATGAATAAGGATGCAAACTTGTACGTACGATTATATAATCAAATAGTGGAGGAGGTGGGAGATAAGCATGTAGTCCAGTTTATTACGGACAATGCGCGTGCATGTGTTTCTGCGGGCAGCAAATTGATGGATAAGAGGAAGCATCTAGTATGGACCCCGTGTGCTGCACACAGCATCGATCTTATGTTAGAGGAGATCGGTGAGATCAAAATTGTGAAGGACACTCTAGAGAAAGCAAGGTTGGTGTCGAGATTTATATACAACCACTCTAAAATTTTATTTATATTTAGAGAACACTATAAGAAAAAAGAGATAATCAAG